TTTATCTGCAGTTAGTTACACGAATTCAGATATGGGATGAAATCAGATAGGGATGAAATCGTTTAGGATGAACGAGTTTAGGAGTTTTAAGAGTTTTTAAAAGTTTTAGCCAAATGCTTTATAAGATAGTATAGATATCATCTAAAATTTATTCATGAGAAATTCAACGTCTTAATAACATAATTAATGTATCTACAAAATTCTAATATATAAAATCAATTATAATTAGAGTTGAATGAATCTAACTTTTTATTGAATTTTAACTTTTGCTTTTACCATTTTAGAAAAAAAAATATAAACAGTTCGTTTTTAATAGATTTTTAGCTTTTTGTATTTTCATTTTATAGATTTATTTTTTTAAAAGCTCTCCCACATATTCGTAATCCCATAATGAGTTGTATATATATATGTTCAAAGTAGCTGCATATGCTTACACTAAGCAAACACATGCAATTAAAGAGAATGAATTGTTCAAAGTTGTTTCTTTCCTTTCTCTTTTTCTTTGTCTTCCTCTCTTTTGCTTCATCCTTTTCCTCTTTCTCTAATACCACTCATAAATGCTCTCCTAAACACACCCATGCTTTGCTTCTCTTTAAACAAGACCTCTTTTCCATCAATGACACATCTTATCATGACGAATGTCAATATTGGCTTGGCTCTGGTTATCATCCAATTATGATGAACTGGAAAAAGAGCATAGATTGTTGTATGTGGAATGGAGTCACTTGTAGCCAATACACGGGTGATGTGATCGCTCTTGACCTTCCCTGTGCCATGCTACGAGGTACCATCCACCCCAACTCCACCCTCTTCAGCCATCCTCATCTCCAATCACTCAACCTTGCCTTCAATGATCTTACCGATTCCCAACTTCCACATAAAATTGGCATGCTCTCCAATAGTCTTACCCATCTCAACATCTCTGATTGTGGATTCACAAGTCAAATTCCTTCAGAAATCTCACTTCTTCCTAAATTGGTTTCTTTGGATCTCTCTTGGAATTTAGATTTGAAGCTTGAACCTCATGTTTTCTACAATCTCCTCCACAACTCTACTTCATTGGAAGAGCTTTTGCTTGACGAGGTTAATATCTCTTCAACTTTACCCACTTATCTTAATATCTCTTCTTCTTCTATGAAATCACTCCATCTTAGTGACACCCGTTTGCAAGGAAAATTACCTGATAACATCTTCAATCTTCCGTATTTGGAAGAACTTGACTTGGGATTTAACATTAATATCACCGGCCAACTTCCCAAGGTTTACACAAACACTAACATTCCTCTCAAGTTTTTGGATCTCACATACACCAACTTATCAGGACAGATACTCGACTCAATCGGCCATCTCAAGTCTTTGACTTACTTGAGTCTCTCAAACACCAACTTATCAGGACAGATACCCGACTCAATCGGTCATCTCAAGTCTTTGAATACTTTAATGCTTTATCATTGTAGTTTGATGGGTCCTCTTCCCAAATCCCAACTTAATCTTAGGCACCTTACTACTCTAGATTTATCATATAACAAGCTTAATGGAACGTTGCCTTCTTGGTTGTTTACTCTTCCCTCACTAGAAGCTATCGCTCTCTCCAACAACATGTTCAAGGGGAGCTTACCAACAGAATTGTTCAACCATCAATCATTAAAGAGATTATCCCTTGGTGCAAATCAATTTGAAGGCATGATAGATGTGCTTGATCAAGGATCCATTCAGCAAACATTTCATCAACTCCCGAACCTCACTTTGCTTGACCTCTCAAAGAATAAATTTAGAGGTGTGTGGGAGTTAGATACTTTGTTATCAAGGCTCGGGACCCTTGAATATCTCTATCTCTCATATAGTGGTTTATCTGTTGTGACCAATAATGCCAGTCGCTATGTCAATCCTAATTTTAAAGCCTTGGAGTTAGCATCTTGCAAGATAAAGGTGTTTCCAGAGTCCTTACGGGCCATGAGAAAACTTCAATTTTTAGATCTATCGAGAAATGAAATCGATGGCCACATTAAGGAGCTAGGAGGAAATGAACTGGTTTACTTGGATCTCTCACATAACATCATAACAGGGCCATTCCCTCCATCAATTTGGAACATGGACAATCTTCGATATTTGAATCTGTCYAATAATCGCTTTAGTGGAGTGATTAAACCTGGAGATATGAAGTTCTCTCCTTCAGTTATAGATATGGGGAACAATAATTTTAATGGCACCATTCCACATGTATGTGGTGGAGAATTAACAGGGCTTATTTTGAACAGAAATCAATTTGAAGGTAAGGTGCCAAGTTGCTTTTCCAAATGCGCATACTTAGAAGTGCTTGATCTGGGAAACAACCGCTTAACTGGTGCATTCCCTGACCAGTTAGGACGTCTTCCAACTCTGAAGGTTCTTGTCCTCAGATCAAACAAGTTTCATGGTCCCATAGAAAGAAGCTCTTCTATGATCGAACACCCATTTCCTAGTTTGAGAGTTCTTGACTTATCTCAAAATGAGTTTGGAGGCCATCTCCCTGGAAAATATTTTCAAAATTTTGATGCTATGAAGAATGTGATC